GCCCCCAGGGCGCGCCGCGCGCCAGGGAGGGGGGTCCATCGCCGATTCAAACAAATCCTGGCGGACGTGGCCTCCGAGAACAGATGGTTTTGCTGCTTGCTGCTCCTCTCATCCTGGGCCCCACGATGGTGTGTGAGTGGACCTGCCAGGTCTCGGCCAGGGCGGCTCTCTCTCTCTCTCTCTCTATGTATCTCCCCTTTTTTATGTTTGTTGTCCTCTTTCTTTCTCTCTCTCTCTCTCTACATATATGTGTAGATGTACATGTATGTATGTATACACACATATATATATATATATATATATATATATATGTATGCGTATGTGACTCAATACCTTTATACATACACATACATCTACATACATACACACATATATACATATATCTATATGTATATATATATATACACACCTTGCGAGGGCCCAGGATGGCCCTCGTCCTTCGTCCCCTCCCCTCTCGTCCAGTTCGGAGGGTGCCGTCGAGGACTGCACGGGAGGCAGCCCAGCTCGGAGGCGAGCCGGCGGAGTCGGGCGGCTCTCCCGCCCGGCCCGGATCCGCTCGACATCGGTCCCTGGACCACCTGCAGGAGGGGAAAGAGCACAGGCACAATCAATCGTCGATTCCCCAGAGAATCAATCGTCGATTCCCCAGGGAAGAGAAAACAGGCACGATCAATCGTCGATCCCCCGGAGAATTTGTGGGAAAGCACGGCAACGAACACACACACAACACACACAACAAACACAACACACACACAACACACAACACACACACACACACCACAACACACAACACACACACACACACGCGCACTCACCGCACTCACGCACGCAACGCACGCACGCACGCAACCACACACGCACACAACGCACACACGCACACGCGAACGCTCACACACCACACACGCAGAAACCGCACACACGCACCCACGCACACAACTCACACAGCTCCCACCGCACACACCTCACTACGCACACCGGCACACACTCACACAACAAAACCACCTACACGCACACACGCACGACACTTCACACACTCACACACGCACACACGCACACCCACACAACGCACACACTCACACACGCACACACAGGAACTGGAAGCTACGCACACACCCCCCACTCCAATCGCAACACACGCACACACTCACACACGCACACAACTCCACTACGCACACACGCCGCACTACGCGCACACACGGCACACACCAACTCACACCAGGCCGCACTACTAACTCACCACACGCACACAGAATAGCTGCACACACGCACTCACTTCACGCACGCACGCACGCACGCACACACACACGCATCGCACAGCTCACACTAACGCACACCCTCACAATCGCACCACGGCGCACGACGCTCACACTCTCACCACGCGCACACTCGCACACGTGTCGCACACTCTCACACGCCACACTCCACACGCTACACGCTCACTACTCGCACGACATCTCACACGCGCACACGCGCACGCCGCGCATACGTCGAACAACGCTCACAACGCGCACACGCGCACAAAATACCAAACGCGCGTCACGCGCGCGCACCGCGCGAACGCGCGCACGCGCTCACGCGCGCACGCTCGCACGGAGCGCATCGCGCGCAACGCCGCGCCTACGCGCGCACAGCGCGCACAAGCGCACACGCGCACAACAAATGCGCACACGCGCACACGCGCACACGCGCACACGCGCACACGCGCACACGCGCACTCGCGCACTCGCGCACACACGCGCACACGCGCACGCACACGCACACGCACACGCACACGCACACGCACACACACAAACACACGCGCTCGCGCACACACACACACAAACGCACACACACACACACACGCGCTCACACACACACGCACGCACGCACGCACGCACGCACACACACACACATACACACACATAGCCTGGCGAAGGACCCAACCATGCGCAGTTGTGAATACCGCAATTCTGAATATCATCTTCGCCCGCGCTCCCTTAGGGGCCACGAATCGTGTGAGGGGCGTGCCGACATGCGTGGCGGGGCACACAACGCGAGCGGAGACGATAGGTCTGTGTGCGAGAGACTGAGAGCGAGTGCGTCTGATTGTGGATGAGTCTGCGCGCGCGTGAGTCTACGTGCGTAAATGTCGACGCCCATGTTGGCGCGCCTCTCACGAGGATCGCGCCCGTTTCCTTCCCGTTTGTCTTCTCCCTCTTTGCCCGTGCACGCCCACGTCCAAGGGTGCGGGCGCGGCGCCGCACGGAGTCCCCGCGACGCGCGCTGGTCGCCCGAAAGGGGTCCCAGCGACGCGCGCGGGTCGTCCGCTGCGAGGAGCAGAGAGAAAAGCAGACTGGCTCGCGCCCGGGATGCACGGCCCGAAAGCAGCTTCAACACGTTGAATACGACGACAAACTTCTGGAAATCGAAAATCTCTGCCATGCGAACTCCGCCATTGGGCTGCTATGCGAGTTCCGTCACGGACATTTCAGGTGGAGCTCCCTATGAGGCCACGAAGCGCTGTACTGGGTGTTGGGTGACGCATGCGGGCGGTCCCACTGGGGCCTTGTGGGGAGCTCCCTATGGGGCCACGAAGCGCTGCACTGGGTGGTGGGTGACGCACGCGGGCGGTCCCACTGGGGCCTTCGGTGGAGCTCCCTATGGGGCGACGAAATGTTGTGCTGGGTGGTGGATGACGCATGCGGGCGGTTCCACTGGGGCTCTCGGTGGAGCTTCCTATGTAGCCACGCAGCGCGATATTTGGTGGTGGATGACGCACGCGGGCGGTCCCACTGGGGCTTTCGGTGGAACTCCCTATGGTGTCACGGAGCGCTTTATTCGGTGATGGATGACGCACGCGGGCGGTCCCACGGGGGCTTTCGGTGGAGTTCCCTATGGGGTCACGAAGCGCTTTGCTGGGTGGTGGGTGACGCACGCGGGTGGTCCCACTTGGGGCCTTCGGTGGAGCCCTTTTATGGGCCACGAAACGCTGTACTGGGTGGTGGGTGGCGCACGCGGGCGTTCCCATTGGGGCCTTCGGTGGAGCCCCCCATGGGGCCACGAAGCGCTGTACTGGGTGGTGGATGACGCATGCGGGCGGTCCCACTGGGGCCTTCGGTGGAGCTTCCCATGTAGCCACGAAGCGCTGTACTTGGTGGTGGATGACGCACGCGGGCGGTCCCACTGGGGCTTTCGGTGGAGCTCCCTATGGGGTCACGAAGCGCTTTACTGGGTGGTGGATGACGCACGCGGGCGGTCCCACTGGAGGTTCGGTGGATATGTTTGTGGGGCCACGAAATGCTGCGCATGGTGCTGGATGATGCATGCGGGTGGTCCCACTGGAGCCTTCGGTGGGGCTCCCTATGGGGCCAGCCACGAAATGAGGGAGGAACTGGAGGAGGAGGAGGAGGAAAAGGAGGGAGGAGTAGGAAGGAAGGAAAGAGGGAACACGGGGACCGCTTTTTCAAAACAGGGACCCAACAACACAGGTTGGTTGGGAAACGATCCTGGCGACGGACCCAACCATATGCAGTTGTGAGTAACGCGTTGTGGAGACGCATGCGGGCGGTGCCACCGGGGCTTTCGGTGGGACTCCCTATTGGCCACGACATGTTGTACTTAGTGTGGTTGACGCATGCGGGCGGTGCCCCTCGCTGGAACTCCCGATGAGGCCACGAAGCGCTGTAGTGGTCAGGGGAAACGCATGCGGGCGGTGCCGTTGGGTTCTTTCTCTGGAACTCCGTACGGGGCCACGAAACGCTGTACTGGGGGGGGGGCGCGTGCGAGGGGTGCCAACAGGGCCTTTTGGTGGAGTTCCCTGTGGGGCCACGGGAGGGGGGGACGCATGCAGGCGGTGCCACCAGGGCCTTCGGTGGAGCTCCTTACGGGCCCACGACGCGCTGTACTAGGCGTGGCTGACGCAAGCGGGCGGGTTACTAGAGTTCCCAACGGGGCCATGAAACGCTGTATTGGGGGGGGGACGCATGCGGGCGGTGCCAGTGGGACCTTCGGTGGAGCTCCCTACGGGTTCACGAAACGCTATAGTGGGTGGTGGCTGACGAATGCGGGCGGTGACAGTAGGGCCGTCGGCGGAGCTCCCTACGGGCCCACGCAGCGCTGTAGTGGGTGGTGGGTGACGCACTCGGGCGGTGCCACGGGGACCTTCGGTGGATCTCCCTGTGGGGCCACGCAACGCTGTACCGGGTGGGGGGGATGCATTCGGGGGTCGGTGCCGCACTGGGTTTGTTGGAGTTCCCAAACAATGGGGCCGCGAAGTGCAGTATTGGGTGGTGGACGATGCACGCGGGCGGTGCCATTGGGGTCTTTTTGGGGGGTCCCTACGGGGCCACGAAACGCTGTGCTGGGTGGTGGCTGACGCATGCGGGCGGTGCCAACGGGACTTTCGGTGGAGCCCCATGGGGCCACGAAGCGTTGTGCTGGGTGGTGGCTGACGCATGCGGGCGGTGCCACTGTGACCTTCGGTGGAATCCCATTGTGGGGCCACGAAGCGCTGTGCTGGGTGGTGGTTGACGCATGCGGGCGGTCCCACTGGAGGTTTCGGTGGAGTTGTCTGTGGGGCCACGAAACGCTGGGTGGTGGCTGACGCATGCGGGCGGTCCCACTGGGACATTCGGTGGAGCTACCTTTCCAGCTACGAGATGTTGTGTGGGGTGGTGGCTGACGTATGCGGGCGGTGCCACTGGTTCCTTCGGTGGAGCTCCCCATGGGGCCACGAAGCGCTGTATTGGGTGGTGGCTGACGAATGCGGGCGGTGCCGCTGGTGCTTTCGGTGGAGCCCCCCTACGGGCCCACGCAGCGCTGTAGTGGGTAGTGGCTGACGCACGCGGGCGGTGCCAGTGGGGGCTTTCGGTGGAGCTCCCTATGGTGTCTAGATATGGCCCCTGTTTCCCCCGTCTCGCTCCTCCCATCCATTCTTCCCATCCATGCCCATTTCTTCGCTTGCTTTGCGTTTGCTGAGCTTGCTGTCATGTAGCCGCTGTGGCTTCGAGTTCTGTTGCGAGAAAATGATTGCCAAGATGGCAGCGGAGCGCGGTTGGCAGCCATGATCGTGGAGGCCTTAGCACAGGATGTGCTAGAGGCCAAGCTGGAGATCGGGAGGCCTTTCACGCTGATCGAGCGCCAGCACGCGACGATTGGCCAACTCCAGGAGGCTTCGTCGACGGCAACAGTGGCGGCGGAGACGGGCGAGGCCAGTCAGCAGCGCCAGGACCAGATCATGGGTGCCCTGATTAGCGACAAGGGCAAGCCGCTGCCCTTCGACAGCGCGAAGAAGGCCGACTACTTCGACTGGGGTTTCAAGTCCAAGGCCTTCATAAGCAACCAGAGCAGGAAGGCGCTGGAAGGCATGAGCCAGGTGGGGGCATAGCCAGAACGCACTGAACGACGGCAACTACGGCGACGAGCGGCGGCAGATGGCACACAGCCTGTATGTCATGCTCGCGATGCACACGGAGGGCACGCCACTCGGCATCGTCAGAAAGGTCAGCAACCAGGGCGGCTTCGAGGCGCGCAGGAGGCTGAGCTACCAGTACGACCCGCAGAAAATGGGTAAAATCTTCTCGCGGCGGATGAAGGTGTTGGAGTTCGATTCCGGCGGCGAGTCGGAGTTCCTCGACAACCTCGCAAAGTTCGAGAACTTGCTCGAGGGTTGCGGGGAGCTGTCCAAGGAGACCCCCGGCGACAACATCCGCTCGGCGGTGCTGATCGCGCGGGCTCCTGAGGCGCTGAAGAACCGCGTCCCCTTGTCGATCCCGAAGGAAGATGTCGAACGGGGCGCGATCGAGAAGGTCACTTTAGACCACCTGCTGACGAAGCAGTCCATGCTTGGAGGACCCGCGCCGATGGACGTCGGCTGGGCCCAAACAAGCGGCAGGTGGGACCGACGGCCTGGCAAGTGCGCCGACTGGAAGGGCGGCAAGGGCAAAGACTGACAGGGATTCGAACGGCAAGGGCAAAGGCGCAGGCGACGAGGGCGGCAAGGGCGACAACAAGCCAAAGTTCCAGGGGCAGTGTGGTCGACGCGGTAAGCGGGGCCACAAGTAGAAGGATTGCTACGCCAAGGTCAACGAGGTGGACGCGGGCGTCTGGAGCAGCTGGAACGAGGGCTGGAACACCGACGTTTGGGGCAAGACGTGGGGTGGCCAGCAGGGCCAGCGCCGCGGCGAGCCCGCCCCAGCGCAGCCCGGCGAGGAGACCACCATTACTGCGGCGACGGCCGCGTCGGTTGAGCGCCAGGTGTGCGACGACGAGTCGGCGTGGATCTTCGCGGTCGCGTGCGACGGCTCTAAGGGCGCGCGCGTGGGGCAGGTGGTCGACATGATGGTCGAGACAGGCGCGAATCGGTCGGCTCGCGGCCCCCGGGACTTCCCAGGTCACCCAATCTTCCAGGGCGCGAAGCTGGAGACCAAGGCCGCGAATGGGACGGAGATCATGCACTACGGCGACAAGCAGGTGAACCTGAAGACGGAGTCCGACGACGAGATCAATGTGCAGATCCACGTGACAGATGCGACGAGGCCGATCCTGAG